TTACTATTACTAGTCATTACCCATCTGCTACAGACGCAGCTTAGAACTACAGCGAGCTGTTAAAGCTTACTTATTAGGCTATCTTACCCTCGCTCAGACGTAGGAGTACGCGCTAGAAACCTAAGCGACTGTCGTAGCACTGCCTTTACATTACTATCTTACCCTCGCGTACAGACCCAGCTGAGAACTTAAGCCGACTGTAAACTTTTACTATTACTATCTTACCACTCCGCTACAAGGACGCAGCTAGAAACTAACTGCGACCTGTGTACACTGGCTTAACTATTTACTATCTTACCGCTATCGTGCGCTATAAGCAGACCAGCGGTAGAACTAAGGCGAGCTGTGTACACCTGCTTACTATTACTATCCTTAGCCCTCCGCTACAGACACCGCTTAAGAACTAAGCGACTGTAACTTACTATTACTACTTCCCTCGCTACAGGACCAAGCTAGAACTTAAGGCGATTCTAGTGTACATCCTGCTTACTCATTTACCTAATCTTACCCCGATCGCTACAGAGCCAGCTAGAACTAAGCCGCGACTGTAACTTACTATTACTATCTACCCTCGCTAATCAGACGCCGCTAGAACTAAGGCGACTGTGTACACTGCTTCTACATATTACTTAGGTGGCTTAGGTCTTGGCCGGACTCATCGGGCCGGCGCTACAGACGCGCCGAGTTTCCCTGTAGGAACCGTGATAGGAGAACGAAAAAGCATGGCCGTGGAGAGGATTAACATAATTTAGTTCTTTATATCTTACCTTTTAGGCTCTTTAGCATGTGACACCTGGACCAAGGCCCTCGTTAGAGGACCTCAAGCGACTCGTGATTGAACAGGGCTGGCTTACTTAATTACTATCTTTTATCGCTTTGTCTCGCTTATTCATTTGACCAATTTGTCTAGATAGCTAAGGGCGTGATCTCTGTTAATTCTTACTTAATTATCTTTTATCTTTTTCATCGCCTCGCTCCGCTACAGACGTCCAGCTAGAGAATGCTTGGAGCAGATCGATGTGGTTCGGACATAGATGGGCCACCTGTCTGGTTGACCTCATTACTCACCTCGTTACGGCGGGGAACATTTTTGCAGTGATCGCGCAATCCGGCTCCCGCTCCGGCATTCCCGGGATTGTTACATGCTCAACCTGTCCCGCCGAGCCCGCTTCTCACTTTTGGAACGGCAGCGCTTGTTCCTCAGCCATATCTGCCTATAGTTCAAAGTCTACGGTTAAAAGGCGGCGCAAGGACTGAGGCGCTAGAACATATAGGAGGCGAGGTGTGTAGCAAACGTGCTTAGCTTTAAGTTGGGAGCGTGATGCGGTAGCGCTCTATCGGCGATAGCAGACCATTACAGTCGACCTCTTATGCATAGAATAATCAAGGCGAGTATTCATCGGCATCCGCTTCAACTGAGTTGAAAGTTAATTCAGATAATGCTTACACCCTATTCATGCCGTTATCTTCGAGCCGTCAATTTGGTCACCCGTTAAAGTACGGTTCCACACCGAAGTCGCCACGTAAAGGCACACAAAGAGAGCACCACAAGCTACCGTTAATAATCATAAGCGAGTAACTCTGAACTGATAAAACAGGCTGAACTACTAACTAAAAATTGTATATAGAATAAAAGCGGAATTAGTACCAATACAAAAACAAAAAAAAATTTTAACGCCGTGCAAAAAACTGTTGCTATCAACCGACGCGAGCTCCGCTAGAAATAAAAAAATTGTTGGCTCATTATACCGGTGGTGCCAACGGATCTGTACACAGCTGTGACACCTGGTATGTAGCTAATCGCGTACGCCGGTAAGCCAACCACTCGCCGCCGCTTAGTTTCGAAAATCCATGGCTGAGACCCGCGCTGCCACCGACCACTCACACGCGACCCCCTCGCTGTACACATAAGGAGAGCGGTTGAGCGATTGGAGCTTAATCAAATATCTCTTTGCTGTAAATTCTGCTCGCCGCTAAGAACAAACTGTGGCGCTAAAAATAGCTTGCGTGCTAAATGTGCGACAGCGACGTAGAAGCTTGAGCGTTAGAACTCAAAAGCCGCACTAACGAAAATTGTGATACGTAAACAAATGAGAGGTAACCTGAATCTGTCACATTATACACTATTACTAAAAACCATTCTACCCCCCAGTTTCATCCTAATTGGAAAACTTAATATACACACAATTCACCCACAAAGTACGAACAAGGGTAAGAGAGAGGGTTCAACAATACGACAATAATATACCTCAATAAAAGAGGGTGAGTGCATAAGAGAGCCGTGTTCCTTCCCGGTGCGAGTCTCGTATACCTCCGTTCGTCAAACGGAGCCCGTGAAAACCACCTTCCCCATATATGTTTTCTCTATCACGCCTGAACTACAGGGTATAGTAGAGGGTAGAATGTATTGTCCCACTTGGTCAGTTTGTGGATGGGATAGGCTAGATTACAATGGTTGGGATATTTTGAAGTAGAGACTGGGTTTACGCCCCTTCCTCCCCTTTCAGCGCACGTGGGTCTGCTTGCTAGTGTGGCCATGGACGTATTGACGTACTGACGTTGTTGTTGTCTTTATTACCGTAATTAAGAATATCACATATCACGCGTGCTGTAGGAATAACTTTAGGCCTAATGTGTGTATTTACTGTGGCCGACATCTGACCGTCTTTCGAGGCAGTGTCGGACCCGCCTTATGTGATGTATCTAAGATATTATTTGTTGCCCAAGCTAGAACCGCACGACAGACTATGATGACCGCTAATGTGTGGTGGTGTGGTTAGTGTGAGAACAGCTGTGTTAGTAGCTGTGTAAAAACAACGTTGCTAATGTTGTATGTGTGGTTCTTCGCCGACAGCTAACCCACACTAATGTTGTGACGCGCTAAGGGTGTGCTCTAAGCTGTTATTCGTAGAAAGTTCGATCTTGTACTATAAGGCAGGGATGCGGCACAAATGTGTAGGTGTAACAGAGCTGCGCCTATCTACGTTGTATTTCTTATATGCGCGTGTCGGGAACTAATTTTACAATTGGTTTGTGTGTACGGCAGTTAAATGCCGTCTCCTTGCGGCTTGGTTGTGTAAGATTATTGTTTGTGTTGATGTTCTCTCCGGTTATACCCTAACCCTACACGCTTGTGTGTTAAGCTGGTAATTTACAAATGCAGTTCGCTGGAGTGACGTATTAGCGTTGCTTACAATAACTTTTGTATTTCGGGGTTTCACTGTTGTATCCATCTACGCCTGTTTAACATAGGATATTACTATACAAAACGAATGACATTAGGATAATAAAATTTAGGGCTAGAGTTAGGGTTTTTGTTAGGATTAGGGTTAGGGTTAGGGTTAGGTTTAGGGCTAGAGTTAGGGTTTTTGTTAGGTTTAGGGTTAGGGTTAGGGTTAGGTTTAGGGCTAGAGTTAGGGTTTTTGTTAGGTTTAGGGTTAGAGTTAGGGTTAAGGACTGCCGGGCATTTAGGAAAACGAAGACCGTGCCCGGCTGCCGGGCATATAGCCACAGCGTTAAATAATATTATTAGTATTGCTGAGAGGGTCTATGTCCCCCGGGTTACTGCCGGAACGTACCCTGGGTACGGTCCGCTATACCGGAACGTACCCTGGTACTATCTAATATGCCGAACCGTACCTCGCCTACTCCACTAACGATTCTAGGGAGTCGCCTACGCCTACTCCCTAACCCGAACCCTAACCCTAATCCTAACCCTAAGTCCTAACCATATCAAATAGTGACCAGGGTACGTTCCGGCAGTACCCTGGGGGACATCTAGACCCTATGAGCATTAGTATTATTAACATGAAATTTTGACATATTATTATAACATTATATTATACAGAGATGAGCTATTTAGACGTGATATTTTTCCATTTAATAACGTACCAGTTTCTTATTTCCAGTTTTTAAGACGTCGTCAAGGCTGTGGATTGATTCATTGAACACAGTGAGTTTGTGCTGTTTAGTAGTGCACGAAGGGTCGTTGTCGTATAATGGCGTATAATATGTAGCCGAGGTAACTATCTGATATGGTTAGGGTTAGGGTTAGGGAGTAGGTGTAGGCGACATACTCGCCGACACCTCGGGTACTACATATACGACAACGAACCCTTCAGCTTTAGTAGCATAGTAGGTCATTTTTTGCTTTAGTAGCTCTCATGGCGGTTGCGTAACAAAGCATTGTACACATATTATAGTAGCCACTGCTTACTCTGCAGCTACCAGCACGAGACCCATTTCCACATATCTGACTTACTCTTTCTTTCTTCTCCTCACCTTCTTCTGTTCTCTTCCCCTGTCTCTATCTTACGCTTACTCTGCTCATTCTGTGCTTCCAAAGTCGCTGATTTTTATGGCGCTGTCTTTTACAGTTTAAAAGGAATTTTATAGTACCACTCTGTTGCAAAGTATATTTATGTAGTGCAATGAATAAGCATGCATTAGACTAATACAATATTGTTCTCTTGATACCAAGGGCCGTACACTTCATTGTCAGAGCAGATGGTTGCACGTCTCGCGTTGTGCATCAGCCGCGAAGAAAACTTTCCAGAGGGACAAACCCCATTGCAATATTGGCACCATTGGTCATGTTGACCATGGGAAGACGACTCTGACAGCTGCAATAACAAAAGGTGAAGCAGTTTTTCAATTGGATCAAGCCATGTAAAATAATGTAAAATAGCGATCATGCGATTGTGCATACCAAAATAGATTTCAAGTCCTTTCTTAGTATGAATTGACTTGTTACGCTAGTATTAGCGACCGTGCTGTTACGCATGATTGCTCACTGATCGGTTGAAAGTTAGTAGCGATGGCGTGCGTAGTACTCCCTCTAGCAGTGCTTGCTTTGCCTCTTCGTCTATAGTCTTGCAAAGAGATAAACTTGCAAAGTTTCTCAAGTACGATGAAATCGACAATGCTCCGGAGGAGAAGAAGCGTGGCATCACGATCAACGTTGCTCACGTCGAGTACAGCACACAGAACCGACACTACGGACACACGGACTGCCCGGGACACGCCGACTACATAAAGGTACGTGCTGCCACCTGCTTCGTGGTCGATCGCCATTTACAAACGCACGTCTTCTGCACATTGATGCATTCGCCTGTGTCTCTACTTCACCGCAAGTGAGTGCATGTTCGTCTTACCCTTAGAGTGGATTAAGGGGCAGGGCGTTTGTCACTAATTTTAAACGAGGCCCATTACTCCACACCGATTGCTAATTAGTGTATGATATTCAATTAAGCATTTTCATTTTTCGAGTGCATTTTAAACGAGGTTATTTAATGTGTTTTTTTTTCGGACAGAACATGATCACAGGTGCAGCGCAGATGGACGGTGCTATTCTAGTCGTGGCTGCAACGGACGGCTGCATGCCGCAGACGAGGGAACACTTGCTTCTCGCCAAGCAGGTACGGTCGCTGAGCCGATCGGAGGTTGTAGAGAAATCGCTCGCGTGCAGACATGAGGATCAGCAGTGTCATTCGCTCGCGCATCCTCAGTGTCTTTACCGTTTACATGCAGGGATGAGATTCTTCCGCGGATCCGCGGAAATCCGCGGATTTGACAGTCCCAGGGGTCGATTTTGTGAAACGTCTAAATTCGTTGAGAAGATTGGGAGGGGGTAACAATGTAACAATTTAAATTATATACCCTCAACAGCACCTGACTGTAGACTGTAGAGTGTAGACAGTAGGCTGACAGCGAAGTATACAGTGTATCTGTTTTTGCGTACCAGAAAAGAAAATCCTCGTTCACAGGCTGCAGTAGAGGGGCAAACATTTGAGGTAGCTGATCACGTAACGACGATGCCTGGCCTGGGGGCCGGGTTTACATGTTGCTGCGTGCATGTTCTGTGCATGACTATGCACTGATTGTTCCATTTGCATTGTGTTTTTTTCATTCAAATCTGGTCGCAGCAAGGCAGCTTATGTCTGAGTAAAACAATGCAAGCGACGGGTGGAAACATAAAAATATCATTATGTCTAGACATTTAATAACAAAACTTGCCCTATTTTCAGCCCCCCCCCCAATTTGCTATTATAGTTCGTTTGTTCCTTTTGACAACTTGAAAAGGTGATTCAAGAGTCTCCTATAATTTGTTCAGAATAGCTTAGAATGCACCAAATTGCACCATTCTTTTAAAAAAATGACCTACGGTCCTCGCATTGCTCGCTCCTCTGTTTGCTAATTAAAATGTCAGCTGAAAATTAAATTATCTAATCTCATCCCTGTACATGAGACTTTGCTGCAGATTCTACAATCGTTATCTGAGGCTAGCTCTCGATCCCTAGCTGTCATCCTGGGTGTCCTATCCACCGCTATCCTTTCATCTCTGACATGATCTTTTGTCTTGGGCCTCCTAGGCTGTCATTTTAGGGCCATCCTTAAAAAATTCTGTTTGCTGTCCTCCGACCGACCCACGAAAATAGCCGCGACCCAAAAGTTTTTTTTGACATTTTGGGTTCCATTTTTTGTTTGTTTGTTTATTTTGTCTATATAAATATAAATATAACTATAAATATAACTCGCTTCTACTGGTATTCTGGAAGGTGCATATACATTCCTCATAGTTAAGACTGAAACACAAAGCATGTGAGGCAAACATGAGGACAGACTTAAAATAACTATTATGCCTCACACACAAAAAAACTACCTACCTACCCACTAAAAAAATCATGGGTCGGGGGACAGCAAACATAGAATTTTTTAAGGATGGCCTAATCGTGATTTTTTGCCAACGTCACATATCCTCTTAACCCCGTCTATCTGCTCCCCTGACCATGATTGCTACTTGTTTCCACCTATTCCCGTGTCCGTGGCTATCTCCATATTGCAGCCTGGGTATTGGGCCTACAGCTATATTCCCTGATCAAGTCCTTCCTCCCATGCATGGTCATCCTATGGTTCTATTTAGACCTCTTCTCTGCCCAAGTCGGACCTATGACCGTATGAGGTAGAGCGACTGTTAACGTTAGTGTTTTGCATGGACAGATCGGCGTTCCCTACATTGTCGTGTTCATCAACAAGGCAGATGCAGCAGATGAGGAGATGTTGGATCTGGTGAGTAGTGAGGCTGGGGAATCGTGTTCATCTAAGACAGCTTAGACAGGGGTTCTTAACCTGTGATCCATGGACCCTTTTGGGGTCCATGGATGGCCTTCAGGGCGTCTGTAAACCAGTTGCATAAAAATAAAAATAAAAAATAAAAAATAATAAAAAAATGTTTTGTGCTTATGTGCATTTTTCTGGGGATTGGGTCCGTAGCTTTCACCAGATTCTCAAAGGGGTCCATGACTCAAAAAAGGTTAAGAACCACTGATCTAAGACAAGGTTTCCTTTTCTAGCTTTTGATCTGCTTAGCCCAGCTGCCACTTGGCATTATAGAGGACGTATGTAGCAGTGAAGTCTTGAGATGTGAATTAAACTCACTGCTGCACTTATTGGAACCTACTTGGAGGTTTTTACCAATGTGAACGCTGCCATGATTTGTGTAGCTGAATGAAACGCGGTCAATGTGGCTACCATTTGCTTGCAGCCTACGTCGTCACCCGATTATTTTTCTCATTGATATTTGTTTGGAAAATGTGTATATAGCACCACATTTGACTAATAGCACAGCTTTACACTGCAATGATGAGAAAATCTATGGAATATTCTGTTCTGTCGTGGAATGGCTTCGAGATTACCCGGTGGATGTTCTCTTGACATCGTGTCGCGTCACACTTTCCGGATTTGTTCTGTTACCCGCAGGTGGAGATGGAGATTCGTGAGCTCATGACAGAATTGGGCTTCGATGGAGAAAAGACTCCCATCGTAAAGGGCTCAGCTCTCTACGCTCTCGAGGTGAATTACCACTCGGCGGTAGAGTAATATATGACCCATGATAACATGGGGTCAATGGTCATGGGTAATCAGAGTGACATTGCTTTACCTATTCTCACTATATGTTACTAGTTTACTTTATTTCACTTTTTTAAATTTAATTTAATTTAATTTTACTATTTTCGATAAGTTTTCGGACAGGAACTTAGAGATAACTACCTCATTAAGTTACTTCTGAAGACCTTTCATGCATTAGGCGATATTCGATTCTACCATGATTCGGTGACAGCAAGCTGGCCTAATTGGTAATGCGAGCTTGATTACGTCCTTCGACAAAGCCTGCAATTCGCCATCACCGACAACTCAAATCGATTGTCGCAGTCACTCTTTGTCACCATCTCGGTCTTTGCACACACACACACCCTCACTGCCGTGCCTTTATCTGTGAGGACACCGCTAGCAACTAACTGCTAGCGAAAGCAGGTTGGGAATCCGCGAACGTTCTTTTGTTCATATCAGGACAAGGAGCCGGCAATCGGAGCAGATGCAGTGAGGGAACTGCTGACAGCTGTCGACGCTTACATACCAACACCCGAGCGCGAGCTGGACAAGCCGTTCATGATGGCCATAGAGGGAACCTACTCGATTCCGGGTAGGTGTAGTGTGAAAAGGGTGAGTGCAGTGTGAACAGGGTGAGTGCAGTGTGAACAGGGTGAGTGCAGTGTGAACAGGGTGAGTGCAGTGTGAACAGGGTGAGTGCAGTGTGAACAGGGTAAGTGCAGTGTGAACATGGTAAGTCAGGTGAACATTGGGAGCGAGTGTGAAAGGTAAGTGCAGTGTGAACAGGGTAGTGCAGTGTGAAGCAGGGTGAGTGCAGTGTGGAACAGGGTGCGTGCAGTGTGAACAGGGTAAGTGCAGGTGAACATGGTAAGGCAGAGTGAGCAGGCGTAAGTACAGTGTGAACAGGGTAAAGTGCAGTGTGAACAGGGTGAGTGGGCAGTGGTGAACAGGGGTGAGTGGGGCACGTGTGAACAGGGTAAGTTGCAGTGTGAAGCAGGGTAAGTGCAGTGTGAACAGGGTGAGTGCAGTGTGAACAGGGTAAGTGCAGAGTGAACAGGGTAAGTACAGTGTGAACAGGGTAAGTACAGTGCTGAAAGGGTGAATGCAGTGTGAACAGGGTGAGTGCCAGTGTTGAACAGGGTGAAGTGGCAGTGTGAACATGGGCGAGTGGCAGTGTGAACGAAGTGAGTGCAGTGTGGAAACAGGGTGAAGTGCAGTGTGAACAAGGTGAGTGCAGTGTACAGGGGAGTGCAGTGTGAACAAGGTGAGTGCAGTGTGAACAAGGTAAGTGCAGTGGAACAGGGTGAGTCAGGTTGTGAACATGGTAGTAACAGTGTGAACAGGGCTAGTGCAGTGTGCAACAGGGCGTGAAATGTGCAGGTGTGAACAGGGTGAGTGCAGTGTGAACAGGGTGAGTGCACGTGTGAACAGGTAAGTGGCAGTGTTGAACAAGGTGAGTGGCGTGTGAACAGGGTGATGCAGTGTGAACAGGGTGAGTGGCAGTGTGAACAGGTAAGTGGCAGTGGTGAACAGGTGGGAGCAGTGTGAGACAGGGTGAGTGCAGTGTGAACAGGGTGAGTGCAGTGTGAACAGGGTAAGTGCAGTGTGAACAGGGTGAGTGCAGTGTGAAGCAGGGTAAAGCTGCAGTGTGAAACAGGGTGAGTGCAGTGTGAAGTAAAGCAGGGTGAGTGCAGTGTGAACAGGGTGAGTGCAGTGTGAACAGGGATGAGTGCAAGTGTGAACAGGGTAAGTGGCAGTGTGAAGCGGGTAGTGCTAGTGTGAACAAGGGTGAGTGGCAGTGTGAACAGGGTGAGTGCGAGTGTGAAGCAGGGTGAGTACAGTGTGAAGGCAGGGTGAGTGGCAGTGTGAACAGGGTGCAGTGCAGCTGTGAACAGGGTAAGTGCAGTGGGAACAGGGTGAGTGCAGTGGTGAAAACAGGGGTGACGTGCGAGTGTGAGACGGGGTGAGGTGCAGTGTGAACAGGGTGAGTGCAGTGTAACAGGGTGAGTGCAGTGTGGAACAGGGTGACGTGCCAGTGGTGAACAGGTGAGTGGGCAGTGTGAACAGGGTAAGTGCAGTGTGAAAGGGTAAGTGCAGTGTGAACAGGGTAAGTGCAGTTGGATACAGGGTGGGGGGCGGTAATGGTGGATATATAGACGAATAGATGGCACGCGTAGTACAAGCTATAGAGGGAAAGCTACTCGATTCCAGGGTGAGTCCCGCAAAAAGTGTGAACAGGGTGCGTAATGCAAGATAGATGAATAGATACATTCGTACAGCGCTTT